ACAAGATTCGTGCCTTCTTCAGTCCTCTCCAAAGGCTTAGTCTCAAAACAAACGATTCTCCATCTACACCTTCGCTCTCAGGTTGACGGAACCCTCGTAACACAATCTGGCAAAAAACAATCACGCCGACGTAAACGTTGGCGTAGTGGCTGTACTCGCACCGACCCTCTCGTGATTCACGCGATATGTTTAAATCATCAAAACTGCTAGAGCCGCTTTCATGCGCTGTGGCGAATACTTGTTGGTTCTTGGCATTCCTTTTCAGAGATACTCATTCGCATAAGCCTTTCCGACTGGTCATCTTCTAGTCGGTGTTCTTCAGTCAGGTTTATTTTTCCTTTGCAGACATGCAGTTCATTATAAATAACTGGAAGTCTCGCGTAGGAGGTCCTGTGGATGCCAGTGAGTTAAATTCTGATTTGATTTCGATTCATCAGTACTCATATCTTTGAACAGATGTGGGGTCCTATTCATTGGCACAATTGGGTTTCTGAAGTGTGAGAGTTGTCAAGCTCTGATTTTGAGGTCCATGACATCTCCAAGCAATTTAGGTGCTTTTTTGAAATCGTTGAGATCTCCTCGTTCACTAGCAAAAGAAAAGGAAATGCTAATCGATTTGTTTGACGACTGGGATGTCCTTACCAACACCTGGTTTGAGGTAGGCAGTATGCTTTACTGTGTCTACAGTTGGCGTTGTTGTAATCATCACCTCTCCTCCATCAGGTGGCGGATTGCGCCAGTTTCATCGAAGAGCTTTCTGAGAACAAAGATTTTCCGGCACGCCAAAAAGCTGCACTCCTTGCATCGAAGGTACGTTCTGTCTAGGCGTAGTATGTGTCCATGTCCATGGAATTTGGACTCCACCTTCTCCATTACGATGTTTAGGTCGCCTTTTGCTTGGAAGACTACGAAAACGCGCTGAACTTCGCTTTAGCTGCTGATACTCATTTTAAACTAACTCCTAGGCCAAAGTCTAAAACTGTTGGAGATAAGGATGATGAGGTTTGGTCTGCTTCATTTCTTTCCCATCATCGCTTGAAAGGAAGATTAATTTTATTCCCTTTATAGTACGTCAACAAAATCATCGAAATCGCTATCGATTCCTATAAGCGTATCAAAAACAACGGTGAAAAAATGGATAGTCGCTTGGAAGCACTAATTAATAGGATTTTCCAGAGAAATCTTGAGAAGGTATACTTTTTTTCGGCGCTCATCCAGTAAGGGGGGCATCAAGTGGCTGCCCTCACCCCCACCCCCTAGACTGCCTACACTCCCCCTGGCGCACAGGTTTCTCGAAGTACGGGACCCCGTGAGCCAGGGGGAGTGAAGGCAGTCTAGGGGGGTGGGGGTGAGGGCAGCCACTTGACGTTGCATCACAATGCCCCCCTTACCGGATGAGCGCCTTTTTTTCTTCTGCTTTATCCTCTCTGAGGAAGTGTTTCTATGTGTTCGTCCTAGTACTGCTTTCCTTCGTGTTGATATTGCAATAGGCCTGTACCGCTTTCGTCATCAATTTTTCAACGCAGTTTCGAGGTTTACTTGCAGAATGAGCTTTTGTATGTTATCGGACTCGCGCTAGATACTCGTCGCATCGATATGGTTGAGAAGGCAATCACCAAGAGCACAGAGTCGCATGGCACGTAATTTTTTGTATCTTTGTTCCTCTGCATACGCTCAGATATGTATACTCAATGCAGGAATATGCTCTCATTCGTTTTCAGTTCTCCTGCTTGAAACCATACAAAAGGTCACTGGTGCCAAGATGGATGTGCAACTACGTACTCAGTTACTCGACGTCCTAGTGAAGTTGTTCACCAGCAACAAACATGCCGATTTTGTTGCTATTTGTCAGGTCAGCGAGAGCTTTTTCCCACATGTCTGGTTCTATTTCTGTAATACATTATTCTCTTGTGATACTTATGTGTTTTTGGCACTACTTTCCTTTTCTGCCCCACTCCTCGGGCCGTATTTTGATCGAAATTTGTCTAGGACTGAGGATTTGGATATGAACTTCTCTCATTCTCTTCTATATTTCATCCCGTAGAACACAAATACCACATCAATCAGCACGAAGACACCTGGGGCACAGGGGCAGGCGCAGATCCCCTTGGATCGCCGCATTCGCCGGAAACTTTGCATTTGACCCATAAGACATGATTATCACACCAGTTCGTTGTGAGCGAGCTTGTAGCACGTTATACGGCGCCAGCACAAAACCATTGTGAAAGCGCCGGCCCCTGTGGCGTGAGTCCCCAAGCGTTTTCGCGTTACACTGGTGTGATATTCGTGTTCTACTTGCTGAAATACCCTTGTAGACACTTTTTACCCTTAGTCATGGAGAAAATTCGATTAAAATCCGGCTCGGTTTGACGAGTGTGGCAGTAAAGGGTAAATAGTGCCGTATTTTCTATATCTCTTGTTAACCTACTTGATTTGTATAAGAGAATTTCCAAAACGATGCTCGCA